CCTTTCAAGCTGGGGCAAGGGTGAGTGTGAACAGAGCAACTGGGAGGTGATGGCGGCCCTTGCAATGTTCTTAATGGGCTGACTTCACAGACCACCCTCTGGTCAGGGGTCTAGAGTTTTCTGATCTTCACATTGTGCCCAGTGCCATTCTAAGAGCAGGAGGCTCGTGGTACATGTTATGTAATCATGTAGAATTCATCACTCTGTTTCTCTTTTGCCATAGGCAACTAAGCTTACTACTAGTCGTAGATGCAAATGGTGTAGTCTATTCCTTTTATTGTTTTCCTTTCTTGGATTAAATCAAGCAGATAACTAAAAACGTACTCATCATCTTGGAAATACTTTTCTTTCCATTGTTTGAAAGGCTCACAAAAAGAGGCCCCCAAATTATTGAGAGAGTTGGGATATAAAAATTTAGATTTGTCATATTTAACTTGGTAACTACTAGTCACATGTGGCTATTGAGCAACTACAATGCAGGCATCAGAACTGAAACTGTAGTGTAAAGTATATACAAGATTGTAAAGGCTTAGTTAAAAAAGAAATTATGTCATTAATAATTTTGTATAGATTTCATGTTGAAATGATAACCCTGGGTTAGGTTAAATATACAGTAGTACCTCGGTTCACTAATTTAATTCGTTCTGCGATTCTGGAAAAGATGGCCATAGTTGTGTTTGTCACCCAATGCAGAGTTTGCAAATAAAAATCAAATTTTGCCAACTACTTCTGTTTGTGAACTAAATTATTCCCAAACAAAAGCATTTGTGAACCAAGGTATCACTGTATTACTAAAATTAATTTCATCATTTGTTTTTACCTTTAAAAATGTGGCCCCTGAAAAATGAAAAATATAAATGTGCCTCACATTATATTTCCGTTAGACAGTGCTGGTCTGCTTAATCTGGGGCTCTAGTCAAACCCTGGAAATCCCAGGATTTGGGAAGAGACTAGTAATTGTGTCAGAAACAAATTCAAGGGAGCAGGTATAAACAATACATCATGAGCCTTTAGCTGAGGGTACATAGCACAAACCATGGTAGTTAATCTTCTGGCCTTTGGAGCTAGACGTACTAGGGTTGAATCTGGATGCTACCACTAATTTGGGCAAGTAACTTAACCTTTCTCAACTTCAATTTGTAAAATGGGGTTGTCTTAGTTTCAAACTCAAAGAGTTTTCATGATTATCATTAAGAGAATGAATATAAAAAACTTACTACTATTCCTGGCTGATATTATGTACCCAATAAATACCAACTCTCCACAAGTAAGAAGATGTTATTAGGTACTGACTGTGAAATATTTATTTCTCAGGGTCATTCCTTTCTGATGGATGCTCCTCTACTTGATTTGTATGCCATCCTTCCCCAAAGTATTAGATGCTTACAATAGCTTTTCAATGCTTCTTCAGCTGGAAATCCACAGCTGGCTATGGGCCCTTCCATGGCACCACATAGCATGTCCAGAAGATCTTCACATACTTCCATTTTCTTACCTAGTATGCAGTGTAAAATCCTTCTCTCAGCAAAATTAATCTTCCACCCTTACTACCCCATGGATATGGACTACTGTAGAGGTACTCTGTTGGACTTTTATGTCCAACATGGCCCATGCCACTGGCTGATTCCAAGCCAATGGGCTTCTTCCTAGGGGTACAGAGAGTACACATCTTCAGGTGCCTGTGAGTTAAATGTAGTAACAGCCTGAATTTTTGTTTTCAAAGTAGGAAAAATTTATTGAGAGGAAGAAAGCTTCTGTCTAAGAGAGACAGAAGGGGGACCTGAAAGTGGGTTGCCCACTCACCTAACTTCTCAAAGGTGTTTTATGGGATAAAGCCATGAGATGAGGTGGGTTCAAGGTGGGACAAAACTGTAGTCAACTAGAAACACTACAAGTACAGTCACTTAGGTAATATTGATCCAATGAGAAATCACAAGGTGGACAAAACTATGAACAACCAATAAGATTATGACAAGTATAGTTGCTTAGGTAATATTGATTAAATGGGGATCCAATGGGGAAACAAGTCACATAGCAAGTGTACAAAGAATGAGCAAGTATTTTCGGTGGTAAGGGGTGGGTCAGGGATCTTTCCTGGTAGATCTTGGTCCCCCACCCAGGTGATTGATACCTATTTAGAATATCAGTCACTGCTATTTATCCTACATGGGTATGGTGTTTCTCTTCTTTTACAATGCTGGCTTTTAGTGACTGTGTCTTGATTGTCCTCCATGTTGGCTCATTATGGGCTGGCCTTGTCTAACTGCCTATAAGATATCTAATTAACTTACTTATCTGTAATATTTCCCCCTCTGAAGAACTACTCCTAACTGCTGTGAGGGAGCAAAGGGCAAAGACTGTTCTGGCTACTTCCAGATGAAGGGGGTCGTAGTTGTGATCAGCAGTCAGAGTTACTCTACAGAGGGTCTATCTAAAGGCCTTCAATAGATGCCAGGCATTGTCATCTTGGTAGCTATATAGCTTTCAGTCTGGAGGAAACAAAGCCAAAGAAACAGTTAAGAATACATTGGCCAGGGGCCAGGGATTTAGCTCAATGGTTCCACTGCCTGCCTCGCAAGCGCAAGGATCCAAGTTCGATCCCTGGTACCAAAAAAAAAAAAAAAAAGTAAAAGAATACATTGGCCAAATTATAAGGTCAGCAGGATTGCTATGAATATAGCCAACAAGCACTTTGCAGCCTGAATTTTAACCAATAGAATATGAGAAGAATGGCATGCACTACTTCCAGTCTCATAGTAATGATACGGAAAAGTTTTAGATACCTTAATAGGTTGAATATTAAGTTAGTTGTAGAAGCAAAATAAGTAATGTGTTATTTTAAGATTTGCTTTTCCCGTAACTCCTTGTTTAAGATGAGGATTATCTGACTAACCAGTAACTTCATTAACCTAACAAAGTTAGCAAGCCAGGGTGAATTTACAATGTATATGGCCTACCTTGTGTCTGTGACTTATAAATAGGAACTGGAATTGTATTTACATATCAAAGACCACTAGGGATGAGATAATGGCTAAAAAGGATATAAAAAGGGAAATGCTGAACAAAGGGGGGCGGATACTGACCAGACTGGTTTCTGGCTTTCCTGCCCACTCAGGAGAAGAAATTTTATTATTTTATCCAAATTCTCTGTCTCTGTGTATTTCTTTCTGAGATTTCTGCAACAGTAACAGTCTCCTGCTTGTAGTTTTCCAGCTCTGTCTCAGTCTGCATCCTGGAGGCCAGTGCTCAGGGCACAGCTAGCAGCTATAAATTATAGATTGCAGACCTTGTAGCTTCCTGGCTCCTCCTGTCTCTCCCACTTTATGCCTGGCTCCATTTTGAAGGATGTTGAGTGTAGTGTCCAAATAGCATATCTCCATTTGTGATGTTTCTGATGTCCTAAAATGCTGATACCATGATACAACTTTAACAGTTTATTAACCACTGCCAAAAAAATTCTGTTTTCCTCTATGGCTACTGCTTAAAACAACTACAGGAATGAAGAAGCAGAGATTATGTAAAGGATTTCTAATCAAGATTGGGTGTTGCAAGTATTGGTTCTGGGCAGTATTCAGCACTGAGTAAAGAATAAGCAAAGTATAGAGATGACATAGTTGGCCGAGGAAGGGATTAAAGATTCTTGGTCTTTCTCAGAATTGTAGCACTTAATTAATCATCAGCATTGTCATCATGATCATCATTATCATCATCAAAACAGATACTTTTATTCAGTACTTCCTACATGCCAGAAACTTTGCTAAGTGTTTTTCATGGTTGATCTCATTTAATTCTCTTGACAGCTATGAGGTAAGTGCTATTATTACACCATTTTTACAGATGAAGAAACTGAAGCATAGCAATATTAAATAACTTGTTCAAAGTTAACACCCTTGCTGATGACTTTGCTGAAACTTTCATGCTCGGACATAAATTGAGACTGCCTTATTAAAGATCATAAAGGGAATCCCTAGATCAGAAGTTATTAACCCTATGTCAACTCAAAGGTCTCTTTTTGCAAGCAATATTTCACAACACCACATTTATTATCCTGAAATGAAATTCACAGATTATATAATCTATCTAAACATAGGGTTTGACAGGGATTTAGCTCAGTGGTTCTGGCACCTGCCTCGCAAGCGCAAAGTCCCAAGTTTGATCCGCAGTACCAAAAAAAAAAAAAAAAGATTACAGGCAAATGCCACCTGTAAACATAGGGTTTGAAAATCATTATTTTGGTATAAAAACATGAAGTTGATATATTTTATAAGGATTATATATTTTAATGAGTAAACATTCAAGCATAACAAGATCATCAGATACTTGCAAATTGCCATGAAAATCACATTTACAAATGCTTACTACAAAAATACTTTAAGTTGTGGTGACAGCTATGATGTGGCTATTTGAAAAGGAAGGCAATTCTTAGTGAAGTTTTAAACAGAACAAAATATGATTTTCATATATTTATTACATATTTTATTTCATATATTTATTATATATTAATATATTTTCATATAATTATTTCATATATTTATTCTGAGAAAATTCAGTGTATAGTAACTAAAATCATGCCAAAATAATTTGTGTTTATATGTAAGGTAGAAAGAACTTCCAGAACACATAAGTTCCTCAAGTATATCAGTATCCAATAAGACCTTCAAAAATAAGACAATTTTTTGTGTGACAGAAGTGTCCCAAGCATAAGACAGCATTATAACAACATCTTCCTCAAATCTCTGTCCCCTCAAATGCCAATAATATATCTATATCAATAATTGGGATATCAGCAATATTTAGCAAATTTGCCAAAAATTTTAGGACAAAAGTCCTCACACTTGGTTACATATTAAAATGATCTGAGAAACTTTATTAACTCAAGTAGTAATTGTTGCTATCTGCAAAGGCTTTGATGTAATTGGTTAGTGCTACTGCTTGGTCATCAGCTGCTCTGTGGAGTCTGTTCAGTAGCCCTAACTGAATCAGAACATCAAACCACTGACCTGGTAAGCTTGCTTGCTTTCTCCATCATGGACTTGTTTCTTGGTCAGAAAGAGTCCAGGGTCTCCTTAACCTAAGGAATAACATCTCAGATGTCAAAATCCATTTTTTAAAAATCCCATGAGTTCAGGATTAATACTTTACTTCCAGACCAGACCAACTTAGTTGGGGGAGCAGAGGTGTGGACCAGAGCAGCGTGGCTGTAAGCAGATCCCAGCCAGAGCTCTGCCCCGATCCCAGAGGCTGGGGCACACCAGCCCAAGCCAAGGGCCTGCCTGGAAAAGAGCTGCACAGGCACACAAGCAATAGCCAGAGGTTTGCCCCAATACCATCATTAAGTGGACAAGACCCTAGCCAGACACTTGCTCACACAACAGGAACTGGGGTGCACAGCCCCCAGCTAAAGACCCTCCCAGACAACATCTACATAGGGGCTCTAGCCAGTGGCACACCTAGATATCCCAAGTGTGCACAGGCCCCAGCCAGAAGCCCACCCAGGCAACAGGCAGTTGAGGGATCCAGAAGGCCACCTTTCTGAACCCAGCAATTAGTGTACTGGTGATCAGCAGAGGAAAGACCTCTTCATGACTTGCTGAGAATTGAAGACCACTGGGTGAGCAAAAAGTTGCCTCAACAAAGGCACAGCAAGTTGCATTTGTTGAAATGAGAAGACATGTAAACAAGCCTCAAAACAAGACTTCCAGATCACCTAAGGCAACCCTAAAGGGAAATAAGATGGAACAATCTGATACTCAATCAACCACCTGGACTCCCTGAACTGGTAACAAAAGAGGATCTGGAAAAAAATGAAATCAGAAAGAATTTCTCAGATAACAGCAGAGATTGTGCTAGTAGTGTAAGACATGATTAATAAATCTAGAGGGAAACACAGATAAAAAATAGAGGAGATGAGGAACATGATGGAATCCCAACATAGGAAACAAATGGAATCCATAAAACAAATGCAAACAGATTTCCAGGAGATTAAAAACTCCACTGAAAGTTTATGCAGCAGAATGAGCCAATGTGAGGACAGAATT